TCAAAACTCAGTGGAGGTCTTCTGGCAAACACCTTGTGAATGCTGGTGATGAAAAAGAACACAAGACACTTGAGATCACATCTGAGAAACAAACTGAAATACCACAGACTGTTCTAAGTAAACACAGCCATGTTGCCACAGTGCAAAATGTGCATTGAAGGTGTGCTTCTTCTAACACATTTGCTGACATTTAGTGAGGAACACATGTCAAATGGTATATGGTTGTTATTTATGTGCATGATACAGAATTTGACCTAAATCCTTGGATCTTCCCCATTTGGAGAACTGCAAAATGCTCACCTCCAGTGATGGTGATGACCATGTAAATCAGAGCATAGACCTTCACAAAAAACTTTGACATTAAATACAACAATTTGTTGCACCAAAAAAATGATGTATTAAATCAAATTGTGTGGCTCTTGTGAATTTAGAGTCATAGCTAAATAAGTCAGCAGAGGCAGTAATAACAGGAGAATGGCAAGAAAGTATTCATGCTGAAAGACACTGTTTCATACGTGAACCCTTGACTATGTCCGTGGACTTTGTCGAGAGTTGCCCTTTCACACATATATCATGTAACAGGAGGTAGTTCGTGTCAGATGCGTTTTCACCTACTGGAAATACCAAATTCGACTTGTGGCACATAAGGTCCGGGTCGTCTGACTCGGACATGTGTGTTCTCATATAGAGCTCTCTCGGGTAATTTCTAGGGAATTTCAGGGTTCCAGTGCATGTCTGAACAGGGTTTGAAAAGGGCTTATGTGTCAAGTATTTCCACTGAATTTCTGTAGCACTTTAAATGGTGAGACAACAAAAGGCCTTTTTTTAAACTAAAAATGGAGAGCAGGATCCAACACACATTCTCACAAAACAAAGCTTGAGCCAACCATCCTTCCAGCAGACTACCCTGTCTCCACATACAGATGACTTGTTCCTGAAAATTACTTTCTATAGCAATCACCAAGTGGGGGAGCAAATGTTCCAGGAGTTCCACAGCTCATCTACCAGTGTTATCTGCCACACAGATGCCATAAATTAATGTGTCCCAACTAATGTGTCCACTGGTGAACTACATAAAACCAAATCTAGTGAAACGAGGCTTCACTGCTAAAATGAAACTATGTTCTGCATTAATCACATGTGATAAGAAATGCACTGTTGTAACAGACAGTACAGGGAGCTGGCAAAAGGAGAATTACTGGCATTTGAGGGAGATACTGCTACTGTAGAAACATAAGACACTAAACTCAGCCAACAAATGTACAAGTATTTGCTATATATCTTCACAGTACATCCATACTCTCTCTAGTGTGCAAGCACAATCAAAAAGTTAAGCAGATACTAGATGACTGTAGTTTGTTTCTTGCTGACAAAAATGCCATAATATCAGAAGGTCAAAACTGTTGAGACATTGAAAAACCAATTCAATCAGAGCCTGCAAAGCAAAAGTATGTCAACATGAATTTATATATAGAAAATAGTCATTATATGAAGATCAGCATGACATTAGGGTTCATTTGGAACTTCAGAGTCAGTAATGCCAGAAAGACACAGGCCTGGCGAGGTAGCACAGGATGTGCAACAACTGCAGTTGCAAACCGTGTAGAAGAAGGGTGTTTGAATTTTAAAAGGTATAATGGGGAAAAGGACAAACTGATCTTATGGTTGGATAAGCCAAGTAAATTAGTTCTCTTCTTGAGGAATATAACTGATCTGGAGTAAAAAAAAATCTGAATGAATGTTACTTTGTCCTGGAAACTCGAATCAGGTCAGAGATCACTCCAAAGTCAACTGAAAAAGTTGCTTTATAAATACAGTAAATCTAACTAAACTTGTGACTGCGGCTGAATCAATCAAACAGGCCCCCAGTCTGATTTGGTCTCTTAGTCAAACATTCATATTCAAAATGATGTTCTCAAAAGGAAGAAACTAAACATTTCAAAGAACCTACAAGCCAACCTTACACTGGGGTTGTGGCCTGTTCCTTTCGCTAGCTGGTTAAATATACAGGAAGGTCTCCAATAGGTTACCTGATCTGCTGGAGTATAGTTACAGCCCTACATTGTCCTGATCTGGGCAGGAAAGAAACATACACCTACTGTATTGAAGGGTTAAGTTTCTGGAGATGTGGGCAGCAGACTTAACGCTCACACACACATTATTTTCCAGTTATCTGGAGACGGATTCGATCACACCAATTTAGAAGCTGTCTCTAACTTTGACTGACAAATAAATACACTTCCATTTTCTCATTTCCGTGCTCACAGTGCCTGCTCTGTTCAGTAGCCAGTCCTTTCTCAGGCCCATCCTGATGAGAACTGCTTTTAGAGAAAAATGCCTGAGATGAAGCTGTTCTTCTGGTTAGGAAGACAGCGGCCTGTCTCCGGGGGAGTGGACTACTGTACCGATCACTGCCATTCATCACGAGACCCACTTGGCACACACACAGAGTCGTGCGTTACTAGTTCTGAAGACACTCATTGGCATAATGCATTCCTTACCCCCTTACCCTAATCTTAAACATCACAACAAAATGCCTAACCGATGCAAAGACTGGTTAAAATATCCTCAATAATGGCATTGAAAAAAAAGGTCCACACAATGCAACAAAGGCATGCATACACACACGCGGAGGTATATGAATAGGGGTATGATGAGCTAGTGTTCATGAGTGAGACAAAAAGGAAATGTGGGGCTCCTGAGGAATTTAAATAAGATGTGGGAATGCTGAAACAAACCTCTGAGGGGAGATGAAGTACTAGGAATGGGATGAGTGGGGAGAACCTGTGAGAATCATAATCTGCAGAGGGATACAGGGCCATGGCTGGCCTAAAGCCCACCCATCCTCTGGTTTGCCCACTTTAATAGGAGAAAACATTATGTTCATAGCAAGGAATAAACCATTCCAGACCAGAGATGAGAGCCCAGCAATAAGCATCGACTGTATATGCCCAGCAATAAGCATCGACTGTACATGCATTTTTTTGAATGTGTGAATGAGTGTGTGTTTGTTGCAGTCAGGACTGTTGGATCTGATTACAGCTGTGCAGCAGTAGCCCTTAAGAAGTAAGTACACTGGCTACAAAGCATTGGTGTGCTCAGTGCCTGGAGCATTAATTATATTAGATTTAATTACACATCATTCCTAAGACATACATCAGCACGTTAATACACAAGCATACACATGTTCATATTAACAACCACAAATACACACTGCCTCCTCACTCAAGCGCATAATTTTCATTCAACTGTGGTAGACACACTGGAAATCATTTAACAGAATTATTCTCTTCACAAACAAGATTCATGTGTTTACTGTAAGTGGTATAATATCCATGTGTGTGACACTGCATAAACTATAAATGTGCTGTACCATTTTGGCACCTAAATTAAGATCCTGACCTGGACAGTATATACCGAAAGGGGTATATCAGCTTCATCTCAGACTGACACTTGGTTGGGAGTTTATACCACGCTAAAACTAACAGTCTAATCCAACAGTACTTACACCCACATTCAGTACAGAAACACTCTTCCAAGAAATGTACTGCATCCACAAGCAATGCACTATGTATTATGTTAGATTGTTAGCACCTTAAAACCAATACTGGCTGTAATATTAGCAAAGCTATCTACATTATGTTACAGTGTGACACCCCAGCTGCAAATAAATGTAAAACAAATATATATAACATTTTAGAAAGTGTGATAAGTCAATTCTCCCTGATATCAGTCTGCTGCAAACATAATTTGTCAATAATTCTAACAAAGGTAAGTTTCAGACACAAACCCCAGGCTAGGAAGCTCCCATCTCTCTCTTTTTAATGAGTTAATTTTGGAGGACAAATCATAAGTATGAAATGACTGGGGGTGACGGCTCACGGTCTTGCAGTAAAGTTACACTGATGGCAAAAGGACACATATGAATTTCTTTACATACCATATCAGTTGGACACAAAGAAAACCATGTACAGAGACTAAAACCACACACTGGACAGCAACTCGTTTAAGTATGATGCATTCATCTAACTGCAAAGGCCAAAATTCCTTTCACATGTATGGACAATTAGGTCTAATTTTGGCCCAAATTGCTTCCTGTAATGATAAGTAGACATAGTTAGCAGACCGCTCTCAACTGCTGAACACAAAGGGATATAAAGTACCACTTGCAAGTCTAGACTGATGAAGTAAAATGCCACATGCTCTCCCCCCCCTACACACACATCTCCATATATGCAGTCCACCTTCATCCCTAGCAGAGGTGATTAAATCATTAGAGCCAGGGAATTTAAAAACTTCAAAAATGAAGAAGAAAAAAGCTGGCAGTATTCTCCAGTCTTCTGACTGACCTGCCCACACGTACAAGCCCACTAGTGGAGTAAAAGTGCCATATGCAGGTTTTTTTTTCCCCTCACCCACCTCAACATTCTTCAGAGGAATAAAAAGAGAAAGAACCCAAGGCAAAAAAAAAACATGATTGTCTACAGTTGCACAGTTTCTTTTAGGTGTTTGATGTTGTGCATCAGAGAACAGATGCCTAACATCTGAAGTCCTTCTATGTAGATGGTTCTGATGACCTATCTGAGCTTGAAACTTGGTCATAAAGGCTGCTTTTCCAGGAACAGTGCGCAATGATCAACATTATTGTAAATTTGCCAGTTTTGGCCAAAGAGTCAATTCACATTTTTAATGAATCAGCAAAAGAAATAAAAGCCAAAAAGTAGGAGTTTACTATGAACCATACTTACTACAATGCAATTGCTTTATAATCCTGGTAAGGTTAAACAGCTTTACCATATTATAGCCCTTCCTACTGTCATTACTGTCTAACTGTCTACCATCTACAGACAGCCTCATCCATCTGATGCTGTGTGTGTCTTTACAAGTGAATTCCAGGAAGCTGGAATGACTCAGTGAGTCTTGGTGAGTGTATTTGTACAGCCGAAGATTGTGGGCCTGTGTGTGTGCGCACATGCACGTTTGTATGTGTGCACACTGACCTCTGTCTGCAGTGTGTTGGCGCGCTGCTCCTTGGCGCTAAGCGATTCCTTTAGCACGTCGATGTGCTGCTTGCAGTCTGAGTTTTGATTGGTCAACGTCTCTAGTTTGGTCTGCAGGGCCTGCATTTCTGACTCCTTCCTGTTCAGCTCCTGCTTCATCTGTTCAATCTGGAAGTTACACACACACACACACACACACACACACACACACACACACACACACACACACACGTTATAAAAACGTATTTAACCATTATTGAGTGAATAGATAATATAGATACAGATTAAAAAAAACTTAAAAAGTGAAAAATGTAACTTTTCTCAAGAAGCAAATACACATGCAACACCTAATGCAAAAATGCATACTTTGCATACATTTATTTGGAAAGGCGATACATTATAATACTGAGTTATCACCCAGCCTCACAGCGTCAGTTCTCAATCAGGGAAGACTAGCAACCCAGGCCCACTGCCTGCTCTATGGACACACCAACACAAGTGATAGAAAATACATGCAGAGTTATGTGCAGCAATATTACACTCAGACAGCTGACAGATTACAGACTGTTATAAGGAAGGCCATACAGAACAGGACAGAAAACCCCAAAGGAAACCAAATGCACTAAAAGGGGGAGGTTTCTGTGCTGAGTAACTATGTGCAGAAGATTGCAATCAGTATGTTGGTGCCAAAAATGCACAAAGTTGATTCAAAAAGAGATATTTCTAATTGTGTGGGCAAGGTTCACTTCATAACAGGGGAATTGGACCTTGGCCTATCAACCCTCAATTAAAGTAAGGGAACAGAGCCCAAGAAATCAAGGAGAAGAGAGACAGAATAATAAGAGACAGGGGGGCAAAAGGTGAGGTGGAGTAAAAATGGGACTGAGTGAGACATGATTACAGAGGTAAAACTAGTGAGAGGAATAGCATGACAGAGAGAAGAGAGTCAGGAAAAAAAAAGGTAGTGGACAAAAAAAAATGTGATAGAACATTATAGATAAGGATGATGGAATTGAAGGAATGTGAGGTAAAATGAAAAAAAGAGAGGAGAGAGAGCAATGAGAGTGGTACTTCTGATTGCTTTGTGATCCAAGGATGTTGGAGGAAGGTGGGAGCTGGTCTGATGGAAGACACACATGGTGACAAGGCCTGCTCCTAGAGAGACACAAAGACAAGAAGAAAAAGCCACTCGACTACTGCATACAGCCATCTGGGAGACCTCGACAGTTTCCCAGCTGGCTGTATGCTCAACCACACACCTCCACACTTTGCACTCCTCCACTACATAATTGCGGCTTCTGAATGTTCTACTTGGTGAAATCTGCAAGAAATCATTATCTGGATAAATAAATTCACCTGCTCTATTTCGCACTTATATCTCAACAAATGTCTGACCCCTTAGGAGCCACTTTCTGGTATTGAGTAGATCAAAGCCCAGAGAGGAAAGCATCCCTGTCCTCTCTGGTTTCCTTTCTTATCACAGTCTCACCTCAACACCAGTCACCACCACTGCTGAAACACCAAGATCCTAAACACTTCAAGGATACAGAATGAATCTATATGTCAATGATGTCTTTCTGCGCATCTGTGTGACTGTACATAGAAAAATGAGACTTAGAGAGCAAGCAAGGGGCATCACTGCGATGTATATCATCCCAGGTGAGGAGAGAGCTTTTTCCTCTCTCGTGGTAAGCTTACATTCATCTGTCAGGGCTCCATTCATAAAAAAAAAACTTTTGTGATGGTATCAGGAGCTTCCTAGATGCAATGACAAATGGGTCCTACAAAGAGCCATTAATAAACCAAAGGGAAACATTTTCACATGGAGCACTGCTTGTGAGCCTGGGTCATCTTAGGTACTCAATGCAAACTGAAACTGCATTATTTAATGTGGTTCCTGTAGGCATGTCCATGTGCCTATTCAAATGTGTGCATGTCTGTCTGTGCCTGAGATAGCGAAATGTTAGTCAGGCTTTTTGCCAGCTAAAGGTAGGACAGTGAAGAGACACAGTGTGCTGTAAGCTGATAGTTCCTTTGCCCATCAGGTAGGAGATTAGTACAGTACAATGCTTGGTCATCAAATAGGTTAAGTAGGTATGGTGCACAAAAAGTGAAGAAAGACATTTTTAAGTGCAGGCATTCTTGGTATCCATGCAACACAAGAAGCTTAGAGCCTTGATAAAGCAGCCAAAAGACACAGCATACTGTAATATGCAGTTTGGCATCAAGACATCTTCACATTTTTGCTTGCTTCTCCATGACCACACAATAAAGGTATGCAACACACATTCTCATACATTTGTTATTGATGTCTTAAGGCAAACATGCATCACATAGGTCATGCAGTGTGGAGTGTTCTCAGGTACCATGCAGAGACATTCTACCTTAGTCTTCATGAATTTAGAATGGCTCTTGTAGACCTCCACCTGCTTGAGCTCATCCTGCCTGTCATCAGGGTGAAGCAGACCACTGGTCTTTAACATTTGGACTTCATCCTCCAAGTCTCTGATGTTCCTCTCCAGGGAAGAGATCTTGGTGTCCTGTACCAGCAACAGTAGGCAGAGTTAGCAAAACTGGATATTAAGCTCTGGTCTTCAGTAAGGGCTTACTTGTGTCATGTTTTGTTTTTGAACAATGATTTGTCTATCTACTGTTCTTCTAAAAAGTCTTGCACACGCAGAGGGAGACATCTTGCAAAAAATACTGTCCCACAAGCTTTGCTTTTTGTGGTTTGGCGGCATCATGGCTTAATCAGCTATGAGCTCTCTCCTTCTCCTAGTCATTACCATGAAACCTACCCTTGTCTGCCTGATCTGATGAACCTACTATATGCATGGCATTAAAATTAAATACTACTACTAATTATAGAAAATAATTACCCAACATACCTGTCTGGGTCACAGTTATTTGGCATGACAAATTGATACCCAAAACAGCATTAACAGCAACACAGCCTATTCATAAAAGACCTCACAGTGCCCTGTATTTAAATTATAGCCTATTAATGTATGCGTGTTTGTGTCTGACTAGAATGTCTGAAGAAATGAATGGAGAACAGGGGAAATATCTAGAGAGGAAGCTGTGTGCAGCCAAGATGTTTTCCTTTGTAGCATCTGTGAGGGAATGAAAGGGCCTGTCATGGACAAGTCCTGAGGTTGTTTATCTGCATGGGTTGAGACATACATTAAATGCTAAACTCTGGAAGAGAAAAGAAAGATAATTGAATAAATGGAAACAGACTTCATGAATCCATCAGCACAAACCACAGGCAACATGTAAGCATCTGACCCCTATTACACCCTGTGACATCAGCCTTGCCTAGCACACGGTGCTGCATTCATCCCAAACACACAAACACATGTAGAGCAAGCCACCAGTAATGAATAAAGGTACATATAGGGCATTCAGGCATCTAGAGTAATCCCTCACCTTACATACAAGACAAAAAGGCTCTCAGATTATGATATTCAATCATTTCCATTGGTTCAAGTTGATTTTTCTGTCATAAGCTATGCTCTGTCTTTAATAACTGATTACTGTTTGTTTCTGCTCCAGAGCACAGAGAGAACATCACCCAGAGGAAGAGAAACATAACAAACCCAAGGAAAATACACAGGATAATATCACAAACAGCATGCAATAAGAATTCATGTAATCAAAAACTGTCTCAAAATTGCTAAAACATGAAACACTGTGCA